GCCGCGCCGCGGCTGCACTGGTGCACGGGCGCGCCGCTCGTCGGCGGCAGGGTGCCCATCGTCGCTCCGCTTGGCGCGAATCGTCTCGTCTCGTTCGCCTCCACGGTCTGCGAGTCGAGAGATCTCCCGATGGTCTCTGGAATATGGTCCAGCTGATCGATGGCCACATCGACGACGTCGTCCCCGCCGCTGCGGCGGATGACCCTCTGCACAAAGGACAGGTCGATCTTCACGCTGCCAGCTAGGCTCTTGGCCTTGGTCTGCACCAGCTCAGCTGCTCAAGCAGGAGGTGGATAGTATTTACGACTGCAAACATGAACCGTTTCTCGAGGCTTTTTTCCTCATCGTCTCCCGGCTGTTCGAGGCCCAGACCTCTTGCATGTGCTTCGACCGCGCGGCAGCGCGCATGCGGTCGGTGTAGAAGTGCGCGCTGCGAAGAGGAGACGACTCGCCGCAGGGCTCTCGGGCCGGGCAAAAGGGGGGGATAGCAAAGGGGGGTTTGAGAATCAGCTCACATAGCTGATTTTCCGGGCGCCTCCCGGCGCCGGAGGCGGCCATGTATCAAGGAATGGGCCCCTCGGTGGGGCCGAAACCAGCTACATGCAGCAAATTTCGTAACCCCCCTTTCCCTATCCCCCCCTTTGGTCCGGACCGAGGCTCGCTGGAGGGCCGAGGACTGAACGAGCCCTGGCGTTCGTCGTCCCTCACCTCGACGAACGTGGCCTTCAACGTCGCCTTCTGGCGGCCGTTCGCCATCCCAGACTCGGACGCCCATGCGACGCACCCTGGAGCAGAAGCCGAGCCGGGCGCCTGCGCCAGAGAAGCTGGCGGGGCGGGAGCGGGGAGGAAGTGGGAGAGCAGGAGAAGGAGGAGGAGAAGCAGGAGGTGGAGGAGGAGGAGGAGGAGGAGGAGGAGGGGAACGAGGACCGAGGAGGAGAAGGAGGAGGAGAAAAAGTATAAGGAAAACGAGGAGGAGGTGGAGGAGGTGGAGGTGAAAGAGGAGAAGGAGAAGGAGAAGGAGAAGGAGAAGGAGGAGGAGGAGGAGGAGGAGTGGAGGAGGAGAGGGCCAAGAGGAGGGGAGCGAGGCGGAGGGGAGCGAGGCGGAGGCATCGCACGGGTGAGTGGATAAACAGCGAGGGCGCGACAGGGGGGTGGAGCAGAGAGAGGAGGAAGGGCAAAGTGTGGTAGCAGGAGGGAGGGAGGATTGGCGGCGCGCAACAAGGGGGTAGGGGAAGGGGGGGGAGGCGGCTGAGAAGAAGGCTGCTTCTCAGAAGGCGCCTGCCTTGTCTACAGACTTAGGGCCGGCGCCTCCTCCTTCCAAGAAGCCTTCCCCCCTCCCCCTAGCCCTGTGCGCGTGGCCGAGAGGAGGCAGGGAGCTGTTGTTGATGCGACGCGCGGCTTCGCATTGTGCGTGCTCGAACCGGGCAGGGAGCAGGCCGGAGGGAGGAGGAAGCAGGGAGAGTGAGGGGACCAGCAGCATCTCCCAGAGTCACCCGACTGGGCCTCTTCTGCGGTGAGCTCCAGGCAGACTTATTTTAGACATCCAGCCGTGGCGGCAAAAGAGCCCAGGACGCGAATTAAGTACGAAAACGCATAGATTCGCACCCCTGGAAATGGCCAATCTATAGGCACATACGCAATAACATACGGATTCGAGCCCCCGGAGAAGGCAAATTTAGAGGCACATACGCTAGAACACACGGATTCGTGCCCCTGGAGCGGGCCAATCTATAGGAACACATGTAAAAACACATGGATTCGCGACCCTGAAGAGGGCCAATCTATAAGAGCATGCGTCAAAACACAGGCTGGGTACTTCGCATCCTGTGAATTGTCGATCGGGATTTTCAAAAACAAGCGTTTCGCTAGAAACATCCTCAACTTGTTAATTCACCCGCCCTACGCGACACCTCGTCAACCATCGCAGATAAAAATTCGCCGGCCCTACGCAGATAAAAAAAAACGCAGATAAAATTCGAGGCCGAGGGGAAACAGCTAAAAGATAACTTTGGGCCCATGCCCCTCAGGCCCACGAAGCCAGAAAACATCTAGAAATGCAAGGCGTGGCAGCGTTTTCAAGACACCTGATTGGGCGACGGGCAATTGCAATGCTGCATGTATTGATCTTGAAATACCGCGCCAAAAGCTAAGCTGTGCTGCGCCATGCTGAATTGCGATGTGCCATGCCGCGAGTGTGCTCTATAGCGTTGTGGATCAAGTCCTCCTTTGCATCCGAGTCCTGACCGACTTGATCTGGATCTTAAGCTCGAGCTGCTTGAGCACATAGTAGCTGCCCCAGAGCTAATTGACAGTGGGACATGCTAAGAGGACACGCCGCAGAACGTCCCAAGGGACGCGCCAAGCAAAGTGCCAGGGGACGTGCTATGGGGACGCACCGCGGGACGTGCCAAAGGGACGCGCTACGGAACGTGCCGATGGACGTGCCACGGGACGCGCCAGAGGACGCGCCGCGCGACGTGCCAGGGGGACTCGCCATGGG